CGGGGAAACAAGTGCGCATCAACATACGCCGTTGCGCTTGTTGCAATGATTACCTTTGAATCGGCCTTTCATGCCTTACCTAGCCTGCGAGAATAACGAATTAATCGCGCAACGCGCTTATTTATTTCCGCGCACTCGTCGACGGCCGCGTTAATCCTTCCGCTGCGCCGGTCCGAGCAAAAGTGCTCGCTGTGTGCGGCACACAGTCATTTTATCATGTGATACTGAGGCGAAATAGTATAACAAAGAAAATTATAACCGGACGATTCAAACAAGATGCAGCATGTACACGGAAAAAATGGATCTTAAATTAAGATTAAGCGAGAATATTATAATATTCTTCGAAGATTTTTAGTCTGGAATTCAAGTAATAATACTTGCATCAATATAAAGTAAATCAAATCGAGACTAAAAATCTTCTAAGAAGATTATAATATTCTTACTTACATATGAGAATATCTACTCTTGATTTAGGACTAATTTCTTTTTTTTTCTGTGTCTGCAGCGCCCGCGAACGGCGAGCGATTTTTCACGATGTACATATGCAATTGAGAAACCATTTTTCAGCGAAGGATATATCCGTCGTGAGCAGCGAAAGGGTTAAAGAGCCGCACATCTGTCGACGACTTCGGAGAGCGACGCCGAGCGCTGCGACGTGAGCCAATTAATCGGCGTTCACAATCAACACGCGTGAAACAGCGCGAGTGTAATCGAGTGAAAGGTACAACGGAGGAATTGACGGTTGCGGAAGGTCCGAAATTGGGAAGACTGAGAAAGAGAGAGAGAGAGAGAGGACGTTCTCGCGATTTTGCAAGAGTCGCGTAATCGCGAGATAATCATGCGAGATTATTCGGTCGGATCCTCCCGCGGAGATCCGACAACTGCAAGAAATTGGAGGAGTGCTGGCTGCTTGCACGGTGCGCGACCGGAAACGGAAATGATCAGACCGGAGAGAGAGAGAGAGAGAGAGAGAGATTGACGGGGGGAGGAAGAGAACGATGTAGCGCGTTTCCTCCCTCTCCCCGCCGACCGAACGGTCCGTTGTTCGTTCGTTCGTTGTGGATGCGCGATTGCAAGCGGAACGCGAAATGGAACGGGAGCTTCCCGGCCAGCCGGCCGGCCGACCGACCAGCCAGCCAGCCCGTGTGCGCACTGATTGATCAACATTGTTGCCGAATTAGACTCCAGCGAGATGGGCATATTGATTGGCAATCAGTGTCGCCCGGCCACAACGAAGCCTGTCCGTCCGTCCGGGAAACGGTTTGCTAACGCAAACACCGTCGCACCTGGATCACCACGCTGTCGTTTTTTTCGCAAAAATACTGTCGCCGTCGTTCTACCAACATGTTTGACGTCGACATCCACCACTTTTGCCGTGTCACGGGCTCTTCGTTATCGCGGGACTGATTCCGCGCAGACGTAATGCGGCCGGAAATTGCGCGACATTAAACGATCGAATGTGCCGGCTTTCGAGTCCGCTCGTATTAACAAACGGTAACACGGTGACAGTAGTTAGCTAACCGATATGTCTCGTCGCGCGGCCTGTCATTTTCATATTGTAAAAAGGCAACCTGTACGCACGCCAAGGTAGTCTGGAATTGACTATCAATGATTTATTAATCATTTAGCTATCAGCGAAAGTTATTCGCGAGCTCGTGCAGGTGCCAAGTATCATTATCGTTCGATCACGGTGATAATTACAGAGGAATTGTCGCGTTGTCCGATCGTTCGCGATCGCTGAACTGATAGGAAAAAGGGGTTCGTATCATGAAAATTATCATTTCAATGTCATTTCAACGATATCGTGTCAACGATATTTTCTTAACGTTTTAACAGAAAGTAAAAGTAGCGATGCGCACATATTATCATTCACTCTATACTGTAATATTTTACAAAGATATGAGCCGCCTGATTATAATTCTTTCACTATACGAGATTACAATCTCAAATATGAAACACTTTTTTTTCTCCTTGCGAGGAAAAGTGCTTGGTACACAGAAAGAAAAGATTAGCTGCAGTAGCAATTAGTTGTAACATACGGACATCTAAAACTTTAGCAGCGTAAGCAATTTTAATTGCTGCAGCAAAAAAGTTTGCTACTGCGGCAATTAAAATTGCTTACGCTGCTGAAGTTTTAGATGTCCATATGTTACAATTAATTTAGCTACTGCAGCCAATATTTTTTTTTCATATATTTATGGTTATAATCGTATTGTGAAATAATTATAGCGGAAAAACTAATTTTTTATTACTACAGTATCAATAGTAATAAGCATTATGTATATGCATATTATATTGTTGCTATACAACGAAAGAAATCCTACTAAAATTATAACGGGCTTTTTCCAACTATATTTCCCTCTAGCTTTAATTTCAAAAACAGTAGTAACAATACGCGAAACTATTGTCATGCGGAGCTATTGTCACTGACACTATAGCAAACATAGACACTCTAACATAGAAAAATGGTTCTCCTGACTATAGTACGTTCATTTATGCGATTTATAGTCATAAACATTTTTTCTCAGCGCACGTTAGAACGATAAAAAATACGGTTAACGGCGTGACTGTAATTTCCATGAAATAAACCTGTTTTGTTTTTCTAAATGCATAAATCAACACGCGAACGCGCCTCTTTCGCGTTTAGGTCCGCGCATGGGACCGGCGATCTTTCGACGCTCCCAAGATCGTTGCCCGGCCGTTTGCCGTAAATCGCGGAATCGCCGTCAACGGAGGGTGGCGGAAAAGAAGTTTCGCGCGGTGCAAAATCGCGCGAGCGAAAAGGCCCGCAACAATCGCCCGACGCCTGGAGCGTCGTCCCGATCGATGACGATCCCCGCGGCTGGCGGGCCGGAAAATCGGCGCGTCGGCCAATCAGCGCGTGTACGGACCAGAAAATGATGAGCCGCGAGTCAAACATTCCATCCATTCGGCGCATGGATGCACCTGGGCGAGAAACAACGTGCGAATGCCTCGTGACCTACGAGCGTAACGCGGAATGCCACTTTCGAAGGCTGCTGCGCGCTTTCATCGACGCGTTCGCGCGTGCTCCTTTTTACGATCTTCAGCGCGGCGTGGAAGCCAGTTCGTATCGCGGAATAGCCTAATGCGGAAGACAACGATGCGTTTCGGAGCACGTAGCTGTCTTAAGAGTGCTCACGTGCCGGAATGTAATAATAATAAATGATGTCCCCCCTAAATTCAACGTTGCGAGGAAATTTACAGACGGCCTATGCATATCCAGTTTCTTATCTCATCTTGTGAGAAGACAAAGACTATCGTCAAAGACTATCGTTAAATAACACGATGTATATAACACAATCGTAGAATATTGTTAATATTTTGAATTTTGCTATTCTAATATCGGCATTTTTTATCTTAAGTTATCTGGGTTTTATCGGTTTTTCTGTTGAGCTTCAGAATGTGTTATTAAAATATATTGTCAATGAAATATGTCTCTTATTATAGCACGTTCAATATAAATATGAAATTATCCGAATGTATACAGTAACATACTGCTTTTTATGCACTGCTTTTACACCGAGAGAAAATGTTTGATATTTGCGCCATAATTGCATAATGAAAAGAATTATAGTCGGGCCAGCCATTTTTGTAGCGAGTACAACTACAACGTTAATAATAATAACTCTGTATGTACATTGCTGTTATTACTTTCTTTGTTAGAATAACAGAAACAAAAGATTGACGCCGAAAATGACTCGAATTTTTGTGCGATTAACCATGTTTTTTTTCTCTCAGTGTATCCCTACCGTCCAAATTCAATGCGATTTTTTTACGCGCTGAGTAACAAGCCACTCTGTGAGTGTTCATTTTCAACATTCACCATTTCGCCGACATCCAGCCAGGCCCATCGACAAAACTTGCTGCTGCATTCCGAACTTCGTTCAGCTTCCGTCTGACATCGTCCCACGTTGATCGCGCTTTATTGCACTCGCGACGCGATAAACATTCACATTTTAACGGCGCTTGATGAGTGGCACAGCGGCACGAAAACAATTTTCATTTATCTCGCAACGAAATCCACGAGTTTACTTAACTACGGTCGAATCGGACATTTCGAATTGGTCTAGCGAATGTCCGTTACAGCACTGCCAATCCTGAAAACCCGAAAAAGCACTAGCGGCACGGTGAACTGTGTTATCACGGATACGCGTTCACGAATCGCGTGTAAAAGGTTGCAGATCAAAGACCGTCGCACCGATCACGAAATCGGTCAACGGTATACGCGAGTGAGAGAAAGAAATATCAGAATAAAGGATTATACTTCGTGTATCAAAGTTTCGAAAACAAAGATAGCGATGCTCACGAAATCAACGGGTTCGCGAGCGTGAAACGCGACGAGCATAAAACTACGTCGCATTGTTTCACGATACTTCATCGATACTTCATCGATACTTATCTGCGCGACATTTTGAATTTAATTGGAAGAATTTTTTCCCACGTAAAAGGCGAACGCGCGCGTATAAGAAAATCAACAAGCTGGCGACCCCGACAAGTCCGACGTGTTTATCAACATCGACTGGGGTAACAACGTGTTTCGCGCTCGACGATGCAATTCTGATGCGCATGATATGACATTCAAAACAAACTGAGGGAATCGCAATGACTGGAAAATTTTATTAAATAAATATCTTTCTCGGTTAAATATGTTTACAGCGCGAAATATATGAACGAATAGATAAAAACATCTTTGATAAAATAAGTATGTTTGTTGAAATTTTAGGGAAAAAGGATAGATAAAAGAGGAATTAGTGAAAAAAGGTATTCAGTATCTCGGACATCTGTTAGGTGATCTGAAGAATTTGACACTTGAAGTAGCGGTTCCGTAATTGTTGTTCCCACTGCATTTTGCACGACACATATATGAGAAGTGCAAAAAGCTTACGTATAAATCGCATTGATCTTCACGACTTCCACAAACGCCCACCACCTCGAATCTGTATAATCGTTACTTTGAAATTTTCATTGTTTTCACTCACCGAAAATCAGGATGGATCACGTTCCGCTCCCAGTTCTGCAACAAACGGACAGTTTCGGATTAGACGGATTAGATTTGAATTCGACTTAACCTCTTTAACATGAGCGTCGACTGTAATCGACAGTCGGTAGCAATATGCACATTGTCGTATTGATAACAATCATTTTTTCTTACTTGGCCGTTGTCACATTGATACAAATCAACGGCAACTTCGTCAAAAGTCGCATTATTCGAGAATATTCTGTGCAATTGTTACTGCTCTCGGCCGCTGAATAACCATTACGCGGCGAACGAAGAGGTTAGTAAACAAGTACGCTCGGATCGATAAGGTTAGCCCTTTGCGATTGTTACTCGACGACTTATACATTCCAGCAACGATATCTCAGCTTTCGATTGCAAAGGGCTAAGTGGTCAGAGATATAGACAATTGTAATTTTACCTTCGAGCCGATCCTTCCCGACCCGAACCGGATCCTCCGGCACCGCTATCTGCACTCGGCGTAATTGCACCCGCGATTACCGCACTGCCAAAAGTGCACTTTCGAAACTGCCCCTGCGTGTGGCGCGCAAACTATCGGATTTGAAACGAAAAACAAATTTTCCCGATTAATTAGAGCGATAATTGAGTGATTATCTCGTCTAAACGAATTAGGAGCATGCAGATTCTGATTGTTTTCTTTCGTAAAATTCGATAATAATCGATAATAATCTATCGTAGCGGTTATTTTGTAAATTTCATCGCTTTTCCTACTGCTCACGATGATCTCAGCATGTTCATTGTTGCATGTCGAGACGCGAATATTATAGATTCTCGTTAGATTGACTCCGATTACTTTAATATATTCGAGAATAACGGTTGATACCGTCTGACGTCTCTACTAACTTGCGTCAAGGATTGTTATGATCGTATGCGTGCTCAATGACGACAGCTCAAGTATGCAACGAGCCAAAGGTTATCCGACTTACGGAATAACAACAACACGTAGATTGTGCGACAGTTAATTATATATCTCTTCAGGATCCTAAAATTAGAGCACGAGATATTTTATAAGTCCATTCTGGAATCTAATTAGAATCGAAAGCCAATAGATAACGTGAAAGTTGATTTTTTATTTGACAAGTGAATAAATAGTTTCTCGAATATAATAAACGAATATCAGATTTAACAATTCTTAAGTAGACTAGTCGATGAATCATCCAAGTTTTTGTGAAACCTAAGAGTTAAATAATTTATACGCAACAGTTGAAGCTTATTAACTTGTCGTAGTTATCAATTTGTCGGCATTAGCTGACCGCAATAACCGTGTGTAGTGCACACAAAAAAGCAAGAGCGAAATCCGTTGCATTGTAAAAATAAATATCAGCCGAGCAGCGAAAATGAATGAATGACAGATGACAAATCGATACGCGTGCTTGAGTGGTTATGAAATCAACGCGATGTCATCATTGTTCGGCGTCATTGGTTGACTTTGACGGCTCATAACTCGGGAACTATTATATCCTCGATAATTTCGTTTGAGGATTTATGATTTTCCATATTTAAGCTTCCCGGAATACATTATTAATTAATTTTAATTCCACGATATCCCGTGTACGCGACACTTCGGTGAATAAAAATCCATAATTAAAAATCGGAATTGTTAGTTGCGAAAACGGGCGGTTTAATTTACACTTCGATACGCGAAAAAGAATGATCTACAGCTTTGATATTTACGATGGAACAAGAGAGCTCGAATTACACACGAAGAGCAAACGTCTCGCTTATACGTTTGATATACCTGCCCGCCGTACCGTACGCGAGAGAAAGCTATTAGCGATCGCTACTAGTGGTTCGTGATATTAGAAACCTCTGCGGTGGCGCGTTTATGAGTCGTGCATGACCACGGACAATGCCTAGCGGAAAGTCATTCGGCGCGCAATGTGCGTACCTTTTCTTGCGCGCGCGGAGGAAAGCGTTACCGCCGAGTACGTACCCACGACTGTACAGATCACGCGCGCCGTAAAAATCGTCACCGTGTTTCCGAATGCTCATCTAACGAACGCGGCGGCTCGACAATAACTCGCCGGGAGAAACTTCTGTTGCGCGCGACCGGCACCCGGTGTGATTTAAGTCGCGAAGATAAATATATCTCAAACGCACATGTTTCTTTTTTGTGCGCACTGTGCGCACGTTTTTATATTCCGACGAAAGAATTCCTTCGCGTCTGTTTCACGTTTCAGAAAGGACGAAAAGGCGAACGTTACGTTTATGCGCTTTTAATAAGAGATTTGACGATCGTTAAGGATCGTTAACGGATGGCGGAAGAAAGGATCGGATGTAAAGATTTTTATTCTCGATGAACATTGAAAGATATCCCGTTGAATACGGATGTATCGCGAGACTCGCTGAGAAGGAAAGAAAAGAGCTCGTTGAAGAAGAAGATGGACTCGTTGAAGGGAGAAAAGAGGAAGAGGAAAGGCGTTGCGGCCTTTCTTCCACGGATCGTATACTCCTCAAACGACCGATAACTATTAAGTTTCGACCCCATCGACTCGGCTATCGTTATTTCTCGAGGACTCGAGCGTCGGCGACCCATCTCGCCGGTTCACCGCGTGAATTGTGATCTATACCCACCGGCAACGGTTAATACCGACCGACCTCTACCTTTTAAAGGACACCACGGAGGTGGGTGTAGAGGTCCGGGGCAGATTAAGATCGAGCGATCCTGCGGTCGATCCCGCGAAAGGATCTACGCACGAGCGACTCCCCCGCGACTACTCGCCCTGCCAAACGCTCGCCCCTGGTAAGCCTTCCTCTCTCATGGTCAGATAAGCCTTCGGATTCGACCCCCGAGCTTGATCACCGATAGCCCGTGGCCCTAACGTACTCCGGCGAGACTAGCTAGCACCCAATTCCAAATCCTCTGGCACCCTCTCGGGCGAAACTGGCTGACGCCGACGGTAAAGGGCCGATTCGGAGAGAGCGCGTCTTTGCTCCCTTTTCCTCACTCCTTTTTATGGCCTGTTAAATGAACTTCCCGTGCTCTTTTATATCGTCCAAGTTGACTCGTCGGTCTGCTCTCTGTCTTTCTTTCTCGCTTCTTTTCTCTCTCTTTCTCTCTCTCTCTCTCTCTCTCCCTTTTTCCTTTTCTCTCTCTTTCTCGTTGTTTCTCCTTCTCGGCCGATGCCGATTTACGAGCAGCTCGTGGATTTCGTTTTGGGTAGGAAACTCGTGGATCGAGCTCGTGCGGGATTTTTGTTACGATCGCGTTAAGCAAGCTTACCCGTGGCTCTAATTGCGAGGTACAGGAGAAGATACGAGTGGTGGAACAGGGAGGGAATTTAAGACATTCTAGTACGAGCGCGCGACTTACTCGAGGAAAGTGGAAAAATTCGCGTGACGCGTCTACGTGTGACTCGCGTTTGTATCTCGCGGCGCGAGCACAAAATTCGAAATACGAATAAACCGACTAACGTGACCCGTAAAATTAAACGTCAATTTTTACGGCCGACAATTCCCCGCCGCAGAGGAAGTATAAAATATGCGCGACGGAGGAAATTCCCGTCCCTCCCGGGAGCGACATTAACATTCGTTGTAATTGTAAAGTATTATTGCAAGTAAATCCACTTAGAAATATCGCGACTGCCGTGCGGTCGCGTTTTTATAAAAATATGCAAATACGCGGCAACACACGGAACACCGTGGCGTTACGCCGCGCGGGTCAGAGCAGCTGCCTCGAGGATCTCATTCGCCGGCGTTCCAAACACCTCTCGGCGCCTCTCTTTGTCTATCGCCAATTAATCCGCTTTTTATCACTCGCTAAAGCGAGTGAACTCTACCGGGAACGTTCTGACAATACGCCCAAGTTTACAAAGAATGAGGAAGTATGCGTAATCAGATACTAAAATGTACCTTAACACGGCACCTTGTTACAACAAATACCTGCTATTGTATATAGGCATATTAACGCCACTATGTAACGGCGAGCTACTAAAAGGATGATTCCATAAATAATCGCTAGAATTTGTCACCCAATAACAGAGATATTCAGGGGAGTCATAATATCTGCAAGGGCTGCATCTTCTCTTCTACATCGAGAGGAAAAATATTTAAAAGATCAAAAATATTTATTCGTGAGTACTAATAATATATTTATTTATATAGCGATATGCATATTTTTACACCATGAAAAATTTTACCGAAATGAGAAAGTACATATCTTGAATCTGTAGCTCATCGTGAAAGCAATTGTTTATTCCATTTAAACGAAAGAATCTAGAGAATGATTTGAGTAAATGTTATTAGTTACCATGTTATTAGCACCGAGTATAAATTTTCTGATTTTTTCATATTTCGTCCTGTCAATATACCCGGGTACCGTTTCCTGAAGAAGCAACACCTCCGCTCCGAGAGGACGCTCGCACGCTCCGCACATCGTCCGACATAGACAGGCAATTAAAGTGACTCGCGCATAGGCTCTCGCGAACTTTCGGTGGACGCGGGGCGAGGTCTACTAACTACGTGCGGAATGCAGTTTCGTAGCGGGATGAGGCTTGAGAAGCGGCCGGGATGAACCGGGTGGAAGAGGAGCGAAGTGGATGATTCGCGCATGAGGGCGAGAGAGAGAGAGAGGAAGAATAAGAGAGGAAGACAGAGAACGGCCGGGATATGGAAGAGATTTAGAGAGGAAGAGATTTAGACCGCGGGCGGGGAAGAGATAGCGTTCGCGCGCGATCGCACGACGACGAGGGAAGGTAAAAGGGAGAAGGGGGAGGGGGGGGGGCAGGAGAGCGAGTGGGCTGCCCGGTAGCAGTTTCCCAAAGCATCGCCATTAATAACCAGCGAGATTATACGCTGCTGCTGAAGCTGATGCTCCGAGCTGGCCGAGCGTTGCTGCTGACCGCAACGTCGCTGCGAGAGACGTCGGAAAGAGGGGGGAGGGGGGGGAGGGAAGGTAGGCAGAGAGACGCGATGTGTAACAGGGCTCCCATTTAATATCGCTTACCCGTCCGTGCTAACGGCCAGCCAACCATTCGCTAATTTCTTCGGAATGCCATCACCGGTCTAGGTAGCCCTCCGTGAGGAGGCAAGGATACGCCGCGGCGAATTTCCATTTCGGCGTTATATCGTCCGCGCTGGATTCGCGACGAGAGATTCGCAAGTGGGCCGGGCACGCGTTACGCCCGTGAAACTTGCATCTTTGCGAGCTTTCGGTCGGAAAAAAAAAGTATGGGAAACGGAGAAGATTTTTTCGTGGGAGGGGGGAGGAAAGTTCGCAACGACGGACAGTGGAGCGTTTCCCGCGAAGCGGGAGATCCTCGTTCTTCGTCGACTATCGCGTTGCCGAAGCGGCGAAAGCGAAAGTGTCTCGTTTCCGCGACACGCGAGTGCGCCGTCGTCGTGACGACGGCGTCGTTCGCCGCTGAAACGCTACGTATTTAGCATGTAAGAGGGAGGGTAGTCCCCCGCAGCGGGTGTAACACCGGTGAACGTGGAACGCGGCTGGATTGCATACCGCAACGCTCTAGTCCGCCCGTCCGTCCGGCCGACGTTCCTGCGTCGAAGCCGGTGGCGGCTATTTGGACAGCCTGTCGGCCGCGCAGACGGTCGCTGGAACACCGGGGCAACAAACAGTACAATACAATATTACAATCCAGGCAACAGCAACATCCCACCG